AGACCATAATAAAATGTTAGTAATCACCTTCGTCTCTCTATTTTCCCATCCACCATAGAGCCCTACAAGGGAAAGCTTAACCACAGATTAAAACAAATGACCCCTGGGTTAAGAGAGAGGTATAAGTATCATCAGTGAACTAAACTGGAGCCACTGAACCAAAGTGTTGTCCACTTACAGATAATTGCTTGGCCCTGCTGAACACATCACTTGGCCCTAGCTGAACATATCGCTCTACCAAACAGGGAAGAGCAATGCTAGACCAGCTGGTTGACTCAGTAGGGTCAGTGTCAAACCTGTTTGACCTCTATTCTCCTGACAAAGAAGAGTGTTGCTTACCTGCACACTACAGACTACTGGTCTGCTCAACTTCCAGGCAGACGCAAACAAGGAATTTACAGGTCAGTGTATGGTAAACACACAAGACAGCATCAGTTGGGCCACTCAATGCCATGGCTATGCTGAGGGAGTCAAAGCTCACCCAGTAAGGCCAAGATAGCAAAGGCTGTAATCCCTCCACTGTGTAAAGGCACTACCATCAGGGAAAAGTGTTGAACTATCAGAATGACCTGACAATTTTTGTAGAATGGTGATAGGTGCCTTAGATACCTTTGATATACATTTGATGAGTTCTGAGAGCTTCTCTACTCCCAGAACCTGACCATGGGCCACACTCAGTATTACTTGCCTGGTGTGACCACTAGTCCTTGACATATAATTAGACAAGGGATGACTAATTGTTACATTATGTTAACCCAGAATTCTTTTTTGTATAGAAAACTCTCTCTTATTGCACCATGGCTTGACTGTAGGCATATACAAGTTTTACTGGCATACTGTCATTATCATGAAGTACTATACCTGTACGGCCTATGCAGTGCCTGGGAATGGAAGGCTATCAAGTTTGATCCAGGGAATGGGTGGTTAGTTCTAACTCCTTGGATGCAGAGTCCTTTACAAGCATCAAGGCACCTCCTTAAAGGAAAGATGTTTGAGCATGCATTACACTACAAAATAGCAATACAATGTTTCCAACTGGTTCCTGTGTTACACTAAGTACAGTAGCATTCCACATACAAAAGAATACAATCCCTGCAACAAAATTCATTTTGTCCCATAAGATAAGTACAATACATTTGCTTCTTAAAATCTTAAATGTAGGGATCCTATAGCACAGATAAGACATCAGTAGATCTGTCGTAGTCAGTATTAAGAATTCCATTGAATTCTTCAAATACTGATTTTGAAGATAGTTACAGGGATATGCATAAATAGAGAATCATCAAAAAAATCTTTATTTCAATGCCATGATTATTATTACAATCAAAAAGAAGCGCTAAGCCACAAGGGCTATACAGCGCTGCAGGGTAGGGAAGGAAGCGAGGGTATTGGATGGCAGAAGGGAGGAGGGATGATCAGCAGGTTACAGAAAACAGCGGGGCAGGGGATAGTACGGGGGTGGAGGGTAGCAAGAGATTGAAGTAGAAAGGGCTGAAGGTATCAGACTTTGTGAAGTAAGTCAGTTGTTGTCAAAAAGTCAATGAGAGAGTCCAGGTGAAAGGTGGGTCCATCAGTGAGAAGGGAAGGTAAAGAGAGAGTAGCGGAGCGAAGACGACGACAGAGGAAAATTTTCTGCGTGCTCGTTGATAAAGTGGGCAGTCCAACAGAATGTGGCTGACTGATAATGGAGCTTGGCAATTCTCACAGAGAGGAGCAGGACGCCTCTCCATGAGATATCCATGAGAAAGACGAGTAGGGCCCAATGCAAAGACGGGAGAGAGTAGTCTCCCAACCTCGACACTGGTGATAAGAAGACGGCCAGTAACCTATATCGGTTTAATAGACTGAAGTTTGTTGCGAGCATAGTAGACCACGTTGTTGCCAACGGGTGTAAAGGTGGGAAGATATTGCAGCAAAATAGTCCGTAAATGGAATACCTCTATAAGAAACTGGTAGGTCATGTACTGCTGACCGCGCAGCAGTGTCTGCCTGTTCATTGCCTGTACGTAAATGCCCAGGACCCAACAAAAAACAATATCTTTATGCTTGGTAAAGATGCGGCGTAGCCAAAGTTGGATACGGAGGACTAAGGGGTGAGGTGTATCAAATTTTTGATAGCCTGTAAAGCACTAAGGGAGTCTGAGACAACCAAAAAATGATGACACGGGCCCATAGTGCAATACGGATAAGTGCTGTAAGGTGGCATACAATTCAGCAGTAAAAATACTAGCCGACGATAGTAAATGCCCTTGTACGACGCTGTCCGGAAACACTGCTGCGAATCCTATCCCGTCAGAAGACTTAGAGCCATCTGTGTACACGGCAATGGCATGAGAATGAGAGTGAAAGTGGTCAAGAAAAGGGAGGGGGAAGCAACCGTAGACAGTTGGGCTTTCGAGCAAGGGAGGGAGAAAGAACAGACTCGAACAGCTGGAACTTCCCAGGGGGGTAGGGAAAAGTGAGATGCTACATGTACATAGAAAGGTGGTAGTTGAAGAAAAGACAAGAGCGAATGAAGGCGAAGGGGGAAGGGATGGAGTAAACAGGGGCGGCGAACAATATAGAATGTCTACTAATATCAGTGACCATTCTATAAATGGAAGGATTGCGGAGATCATGAGAGGGTACATAGTAGCGCAGGCAATGGGTATCACGGCGATTGGGGTAAGGATGGGAAAGTTCGCTTCTGTATAGAGGCTCTCGAAAAGGGGGAAAGAGCGAAAAGCACCAAGGCATAAACGTAATCCTTGGTGATGAATGGGGTTAAGGCTAGAGAGAGTAGCAGGAGATGTCGCTGAATAGATCTGGTCACCATAATCAAGTTTCGATAAAATAAGGGTGGAATATAGGCGGAGGAGGGTTCGACGATCAGCTCCCCATGAAAGATGAGCAAGGGTTTTAAGAAGGTTCAGCCGGCTGTGACAAGTTGCCTTCAGAGAGGTAATGTGAGGTTTCCAGGATAATTTGGTGGGTTTTAGTGCTGGAAAATTTAAACCCACGTGTGGTGGCCCAATTGGAAACACGGTCGACTGCATGTTGGAGAGAAACTGTTTAAAGAGGTGGGCAGTCAGCGCTGCCCCAGGCAATAGCGAAGTCATCGACATAGAGTGATGACCAAATATTTGATGGAAGACTAGAGGCCAAATCATTAATAGCAAGGAGAAAAAGTGTTGTGCTCAGAACACATCCCTGGGGGACACCTTCAGCTTGGATAAAGTCCGGGGAGAGCACATTATTAACCCGAACACGGAAATGCCTGTCAGTTAAAAAAATTCTTTAAAGGGAAAGGGTGGTAGATTGCCCCGAAGGCCTAAGGGTGGGCTTGGGCTAAAATATTATACCTCCAAGTTGTGTCATATGCCTTCTCAAGGTCAAAAAATATGGCAATAACTGAGTGGTTATTCGCAAAGGCATTATGAACATACATATCCAAGCGTAGTAAGGGGTCCATGGTAGAACGTCCCTTACGAAAGCCATATTGACGAGTGGAGAGACTGTTATGTGTCTCTAAATACCACACTAAACGTCTATTTACTAGGTGTTCCATTACTTTGCAAACTGCACTGGTAAGAGCAATGGGACGATAGTGGGAGGTTTCATGTCCCGTAGTGCCTGGTTTGCGGAAAGGGAGAACAATTGCGGATTTCCACAGCTGTGGAAGAACTCCTTGTGACCAAATAAGATTGTAAAGGCGTAATAGGACTGCAAGTGCTGACTGATGTAAATGTTGTAGCATATGAATATGAATGTCGTCGGGCCCAGCTGCCGATGATCGGCAAGCTGAGAGTGTTGCCTCCAGTTCTTGAAGTGTAAAAGGCACATTATACTGTTCTTCTCTGAGAGAAGAAAAGTCCAAGGGTGCTAACTCTCTGGCAGACTTTGAGGAAAGAAATGAGGGGCATAGATGGAGTCCCTGAGAAATACAGACCAGATGATTGCCAATTTCATTGGCAACATCTAGTGGGTTTACATTGAAGCATATATGTGAACAGTATTTAGATAAAGGTAGGGAAGTTTTTATTGCATTTATGGATTTAGAAAAGGCATATGATAGAGTGGATAGAGGAGCAATGTGGCAGATGTTGCAAGTATATGGAATAGGTGGTAAGTTACTAAATGCTGTAAAGAGTTTTTATGAGGATAGTGAGGCTCAGGTTAGGGTGTGTAGAAGAGAGGGAGAATACTTCCCGGTAAAAGTAGGTCTTAGACAGGGATGTGTAATGTCACCATGGTTGTTTAATACATATATTTATAGATGGGGTTGTAAAAGAAGTAAATGCTAGGGTGTTCGGGAGAGGGGTGGGATTAAATTATGGGGAATCAAATTCAAAATGGGAATTGACACAGTTACTTTTAGCTGATGATACTGTGCTTATGGGAGATTCTAAAGAAAAATTGCAAAGGTTAGTGGATGAGTTTGAGAATGTGTGTAAATGTAGAAAGTTGAAAGTGAACATAGAAAAGAGTAAGGTGATGAGGGTATCAAATGATTTAGATAAAGAAAAATTGGATATCAAATTGGGGAGGAGAGTATGGAAGAAGTGAATGTTTTCAGATACTTGGGAGTTGACGTGTCGGTGGATGGATTTTATGAAGGATGAGGTTAATCATAGAATTGATGAGGGAAAAAAGGTGAGTGGTGCGTTGAGTATATGTGGAGTCAAAAAACGTTATCTATGGAGGCAAAGAAGGGAATGTATGAAAGTATAGTAGTACCAACACTCTTATATGGATGTGAAGCTTGGGTGGTAAATGCAGCAGCGAGGAGACGGTTTGAGGCAGTGGAGATGTCCTGTCTAAGGGCAATGTGTGGTGTAAATATTATGCAGAAAATTCGGAGTGTGGAATTAGGAGAAGGTGTGGAGTTAATAAAAGCATTAGTCAGAGGGCAAAGAGGGGTTGTTGAGGTAGTATGGTCATTTAGAGAGAATGGATCAAAGTAGAATGACATGGAAAGCATATAAATCTATAGGGGAAGGAAGGAGGGTAGGGTTGTCCTCGAAAGGGTTGGAAAGAGGGTAAAGGAGGTTTTGTGGGCTAGGGGCTTGGACTTCCAGCAAGCGTGCATGAGCGTGTTAGATAGGAGTGAACGGAGGTGAATGATACTTGGGACCTGACGATCTGTTGGAGTGTGAGCAGGGTAATATTTAGTGAAGGGATTCAGGGAAACCGGTTATTTTCATATAGTCGGACTTGAGTCCTGGAAATGGGAAGTACAATGCCTGCACTTTAAAGGAGGGGTTTGGGATATTGGCAGTTTGGAGGGATATGTTGTGTATCTTTATACGTATATGCTTCTGAACTGTTGTATTCTGAGCACCTCTGCAAAAGCAGTGATAATGTGTGAGTGTGGTGAAAGTGTTGAATGATGATGAAAGTATTTTCTTTTTGGGGACTTTCTTTCTTTTTTGGGTCACCCTGCCTCGGTGGGAGACGGCCGACTTGTTGAGAAAAAAAAAAAAAAAAAAAACTTTCATGAAAAAAAGAAATGCTGTCTACAGCAGCTTAGCATAATGAAAATACAAATACAGTATGTGAAAATAATTTCAACTGCAGACATTTTTTGTAGTCTTCTTCTCTGTCTTGAGCCTCTCAAACTTCTTTAGATCAGCACTAAACAGAACCTGTGGGGAAAAAAACACAAAGCACATTTTGATATTTGCTTCACATAGAAAACTTACAGATAATTCAGCACTTTAGAGATTTTGAAATTACAGCATTTGAACTTTTGTAAATATTGAATTAATTATAATAAAGAAGAGGAAAAGAGTGGGTGGTATGGTTAGGCATCTATGGAGACCACAAGCTTTATCCATGAAGGTAAAATGTGGAAAGTACCACAGTACAGTGGTACTGTACCAGAAATGTTATAGGGGTGTTATGCATTGATTTTCAATGTAGCAGCAAGGAGACTAAAGGCCTCCTGTCATTCTTAGGGTGCTGTGTTGTATGAATATTATGCAGAGATTAGGTGTGGACAGGGACAAATGCATAGATTTTTTTTTCAACAAGTCGGCCGTCTCCCACCAAGGCAGGGTGACCCAAAAAGAAAGAAAATCCTCAAAAAGAAAATACTTTCATCATCATTCAACACTTTCACCTCACTCATACAAAATCACCGTCTTTGCAGAGGCGCCCAGATACAACAGTTTAGAAGCATATGTATAAAGATATAAAATACATAGATATACTTGTAAATACAAATGCATACATGTATATAAAAATTTGTACAGTAGAAACTTGGTTGTCAAATTTAATTCGTTCCAAATGTCAATTCGACAATCAAAATGGATGACAACCAAAGCAATTTTTTTCCATAAAGAATAATGTAAATGGAATTAATCCATTCCAGACCTCAAATGACAATACAATAATTTATAAAAATGTACTGCTACATACTTCCTCTCAGTTTTTACACAGGAGGATACCAGCGATATTCCAGAAATGATAAATTATGTAGAACAGGACGATAATAACTGTGCACGATTAGGGTCACAAGTGACATGGTCCTTAGGCAAATAGATAAATTAAAACCTAACAAATCCCCAGGCCCTGATGAACTGTATGCAAGGGTTCTAAAGGAATGTAAAGAGGAGCTTAGCAAACCTCTGGCTAATCTTTTCAACATATCACTACAAACTGGCATGGTGCCAGATAAGTGGAAAATGGCAAATGTGATACCTATTTTCAAAGCAGGTGACAGGTCCTTAGCTTTGAACTATAGACCAATAAGCCTAACCTCCATAGTGGGAAAATTTATGGAATCAATAATTGCCGAGGCAGTTCGTAGCCACCTTGAAAAGCATAAATTAATCAACGAATCTCAGCATGGTTTTACAAGGGGCGTTCCTGCCTTATGAATTATTAACTTTTTTCACTAAGGTATTTGAGGAGGTATATCATGGTAATGAATATGATATTGTGTATATGGACTTCAGTAAGGCTTTTGACAGGGTCCCACATCAGAGACTATTGAGGAAAATTAAGGCACATGGAATAGGAGAAATTTTTTCCTGGATAGAGGCATGGTTGACAAATAGGCAGCAGAGAGTTTGCATAAATGGGGAGAAATCAGAGTGGGGAAGCGTCACGAGCGGTGTTCCACAGGGTCAGTGTTGGGCCCCTTGCTGTTCACAATCTACATAAACGACATAGATGAGGACATAAAGAGCGACATCAGCAAGTTTGCCGATGACACCAAAATAGGCCGTCGAATTCATTCTGACGAGGACATTAGAGCACTCCAGGAAGATTTGAATAGACTGATGCAGTGGTCGGAGAAGTGGCAGATGCAGTTTAATATAGACAAATGCAAAGTTCTAAAGTTGGACAGGACAAAAACCATCCCAATATAAACTAAAAATGTGATCTTAATATTAGGATTGCGAAAAAGATTTAGGATTTTGGGTTACAGCAATCTAAAAACCAAGACAACAGTGCATAAGTGTTCGCAAAAAAGCTAATAAAACCTTGGCTTCATACAAAAGCATAAAAAATGGAGTCCTCGGGTTTTTTCTTCAACTCTAACACCCTTTGGTTGGGCTCATTTAGATTATGTGCACAGTTTGGTCCCCGTATTACAGAATGATATAAATGCTCGGGAAAATGTACAAAGGGGGAGACAAATTTGTCCCATGTATCAAAAAATTTCCCTTGAGGATAGACAAAGGCCCTAATCGCATCTCTAGAAAGTGTAAAATTAGGGGGATATGATTGGGTGTAAAAATGGAAACAGGAATAAATAAAGGGGGGATTTTAAATAGTGGCTAAAAATATCTACCTAGACAGGACTCGCAGCAATTGTTTTTTAAGTTGGAAAAAAAAAAATTCGATTCAGGAAGGATATAGAAAGTACTGGTTTGGTAAAGATTTTGGGGATATGGAACAAACTCCTGAGTACAGTTAAAGAGGCCAGAACATTTTGTGAGTTTTTTAAAAATGGTTGGAAAAAATAAATGGTGGAAGTGGGTGGGTGTGGAGGGGAAAACCTGATAGCTTGTGCTACAGGTCGGTTGCAGGTGTTCCTCCCTTAAGTCAATGGGACCTGCCCTGACAGGGGGGTGCTTTGGTTAACCCGGGGTGGGAGTTTTGACCGGGCCTCGCATGGGCCAGTACCTTTTCTGCAGTTTGCCCCCCTTCGTTTTATGTTTTATAAAATTTTAAAAAATGAATACTAAAAGAAACTTTACCTGAAATACTGTACAGAAATGAAATTTAACTGCCCTCTTACCTGTCAGAGGGAGAAAAGGCATACGGGAAAGCGGGAGGGGAGGAGAGGAGGGGGTATTTACTGTTTGAAGGAAAAACCCTTCTATTAAAGTCAGGCAACTCCCCTCCTGTTGTTGTTTTTTTCTCTGTCTCTTTCACCCTATCACTTTTTCTGGCTCCGGGTTTCTTTGTCTCCTAAAAACCGTCCAAATGGTTTTGTTTCGGTTCCCGTTTAAAAATGGCAAAACCCACCACCACCCCTACCATCCCCATACCAAACCAATAAACCCCACCACAAAGACCCCAAAAATTCAAAAAGTGAGCAGAAACTCCGGGCACTTCATGCCTTTGCACACTTTTCCTTAAAGTCCAGGGGGCAAGTTTTCTCACAATAAAAAAAAAATTGCACTAAAACTGAAAAATAACAAAAAATTCAAAGTGCACAAAAAAAAGCCAAGAATGTTTACGCATGTGATTTAGTGCTACGAGCGCCCCACACTGTCAATTCACTGTCCAGTCACTTTCCCATGAGCATGTGCCCGACCCATTCTATTGTCAGTTAAAACCCCAAGAGAACGTAAAAAAATCAGGAATTTTTTTTTAAATTTCCCTATTCGAAAACTGATTTGTTGACAAGTAATGCATTGACAACCGGGGTTTCACTGTTTTTATTTTCCCAAAATCGGGTCATTTTAACTGATCAAATTTTAACTCCTTCAGACCCCCAGGCCAGAATCTGAAGTGGTGCCCCAGTGCCAAGAATTTAAAAAAAAAAAAAATTGTTATTTTTTCTTATGAAATGGGGGAAAATTTTTTTTGTAAAGGGTAATAAAAAAAAAAGTACGAAATTTGAGGGAAAATTTGAACAAAATTTATCTCCGCAAATTTTTGATGTGTCAGGAATTTCGAATCAGCAATTTTGCCGATTTTTTGACTCCCTTTTAGGCCTTACATTATTCCAGTGACCAAATTTTAGCTTTTTTTCACTAGTTTTTCTTCTATTCTTTTGTTTTGGCACAAAAAATCCCCAATCAACGTTTCAACACAAAAAAAAAGTGATCGAAATTGGTAATTTGGCTAATTTAACACAAATTCAAAATATTCCAATTTAAAAATTGGGTCCAGAATAAAAAATGAGGTTTTCCCTGGCACAAATAACATTTCCTCTGTTCATTAATTTGTTTTGAGGCTTTAAACAAATAAAAATTTCCTTTTGATTTTTTCTTCACATAATGAATTTTTTTTCACACCAAAAAATAAAAATTTTGTTATGCAATACTGTAATAATTTTAAATTCTCCCTATTTGTGAATGCATATTAACCCCCCACTGGGGTGTATTAGCGGTGAGGTCGTTTTTTACTTTGAATAACGGCAAAAATTTAAAAATTTTTGCACTTTGAGCTCATTTTAAACCTTTTCCCGGCTAAACCAAAAAAATCATCTTATTTTGTAAAATGTTTCCCATTCTATAAATGAGACCAAGAAATCACAAAAACAAATATAAAAAACATGAAAAAACACTGCAAAGTCGCGTTTTTAAACAAAATCTGGTCTCAGTTTTTTTTTTTCCATTATACACAGTGGCGCAGGATTGTTTTAGTGGTGCACACATACCACTAATGGATCTGTCTATCAGGCCCAAATTACCACTCCAGTTTACAAGTGAGCTGAGTCATGGGGAGATCACGGGCGGACCCTGAAGTAAAGGCCCAGTCTTCGGGGCGACCCGAAAGGGTTTAAAATGGTAATCTATTATACATAATATCTAGAAAACTCCATGGAGAAGTGAAACAGAATTTTTTTCCTTGAAGCCCGCCTGTATAAGAGGCGACTGAAATGCTGGGGGCAAGGGGCTGGGAACCCCTTTCCTGTAACATTACTAAATTTTTAAAAAAAAAAAAAAACTTTTGTTTTTTTCCTTTTAGGGCACCCCCCCCCCGGTGGATACGGCAGCTTTTTAAAAAAAAAAAAAATTGATAGGGAACCCGGTCATTTTGGGTGACCTGTATAACCTACCTAAACTTGGTTTTTTGTTATTCATGTTTTCAACAAATGAATAGCAAAACAAAAACAAGAGGATCACAGAATTGGTGTAGTTTAGTTTTTATTCACATTGCCTATAATGTTTGCATCTGCAAAGGCATCATTCTGTAATTCTTGAACAACTCAAACAACCAACTGAGTAGCAGTAACTCTTACTGGAAAGGTTATAAAGGTTTTCAGCAAACAATGGGCACACAATGATCCCCATTAGTAGGAAGCATCCAGAAGGTTTGTTGCCTTCACTGATAACTCAACCATTGGGTTGAGTATCAACATTTTCATGACTTTGTTACTACAGTGCAAATAATTAAATGCCATCCTCTTTCCTAATGTGTCATCAGCACTTCACAGCTCATTAAAAAATATTAGCTC